TATATATATAAATCCTATTAGCTCTGTTTCTCTGGAGAACCCTAATACAGGCAATGAAACTCTTCTGTATGGTGCCATAATGGTGGATATGAGTCATTATACATTTATCAAAACCTACAGAATGTGCAACACCAGGCATGAAGTCTGATATAAACTGTGGACTTTGTGTGATAAGGATGTATCAATGTAGATTCATCAATTTTAACAAATGCACCACTCTGGTATAGGATGTTGAGTTGGGGAGTATGTGTGTGTTGGGGGCCAGGAGTGTATGGAAACTCTGCACTTTCTGCTCAATTTTGCTGTAAACCTAAAACTGCTCTAAAAAGTAAATTCTATTAAAAGGAAAAAATTAAGAGGTACAAACTTCCAGTTCTAAGATAAATAAGTCATAGGGATGAAAAATACAGCATGGGAAATATAGTCAATATTATTATAATAATGTTGTATGGTAACAGATGGTAGCTACACTTATGGTGAGCTTTGCATAATGTATAGGATTGTCCAATCACTATGTTATAAACCTGAAACTAATGTGTGTAACATTGTATGTCAACCATACATACTTCAATAAAAAAGGGAAAAAAAAGAAAAATAATGAAGAGACTGCTAGATGATATTAGATACTAACTAGTGATGATAAAAATAATGTGATTTGGGTTTTAATATAGATAGATCAGTTAGAAAATACAAAGCTAAAAATATACCCATATATAAAAATATATATAATAAAGATAGCATTTTTAATTCGTGGTGAGCTGAGCTGCTTAGAGCCCCTGCGTGTGAATCCAGAGAGAAATGCTGTACCCCTCCTGAAGCCATTACTCACAAAGCCTGCTGCCAGTGTTGCAGCTCCAAGTATATGGCTCATTTCCATGTATATTATTGTATATTCCATGTAGATTATTTCATGTATATGACTAGAACAACTGCCTATTCTCTAAAAAGAAGTCATTAGATTCCAATATCACTATATAAAAAATTAAATTTGAAATAGTAAAAATCAGAAAATATATGTGTTTATTAGATCTTAAAGTGGGAAAAACCTTTTCTTAGGTAAAACCACAAGGATAAAAATCTCAAAAGAAAAAATTAAACAAAGGGTAAACTTAAGACATTCATTATATATGACAGACAAAGGTTACTATTCTTATTATATGCTAAGCTTTTAGAAATATTAAGAAAATGAAAAACCAATATAAAAATTGACAGAGTACATCAGTGAACAATCCAGAAAATAAATACACAGAGCCAGTAAAAATATGACAAAATTCCATCCTGCTAACTAGGATTCAATAAAATCACTATTTGCCTAAATGTTTAGAGAGAGTTTTTGGTTTTTTGCTTTTGAAAGGCTGAAATAACCTTTTGCAACCTCCTGGAATGAAATTTGGCAGGATGTTTAAAGAGCCATAAAAATTAGAGATGTACACAAAAATGTGTATGAAAGGTTATTTAGCTCATATGTCCTACAACACAGACATGATTAAACAAATCATGCTGTACTCATGATCTGATATAATACTAAGCAGCTACTAACATTTTTGTTGAAAACAAGGAGATAATGTAAGAAGACCTCAAAATAGGATGCCCACTCTTTTCTGAAATAAAAAAAAGGAAAGTTCTAGTAGATGGATTTGTACCAAAGTGATAAGAGTTGATTATCTTAAGGAGGATTTTTATTTTTTCTTTGTTCTTTTCTGTTTTAAAATTATTTTGTAATGTACATTAACCGCTTTCGTAATTAGGAAAACACAGTACCCAACTACAAAAAAAAAAAAAAGCCCAACAATTAAAATCAACTAGGATGTGGGAAAGAACTCAAAGTGGATTATAAATAA